CACCTGCTTTATTTTCCCAGTCTTGAACTGAGACATTTAGGTTAAGCATAAAGCAAAGTAATATTTTTTATTTATTTTAGTAACCACGCTGCTTGTTGTTTGAAAACGTCTGCTGTAGGGAAACTGAGCAGATAGTGGTTTGATTTATCACAAACTTTACATAGTTTGATACAGTGTTTATTCCTTCTCTATCTGCCAAACTAACATTCATAAATTATTTTTTGTTAGTTCTTATTAGTTGTTTCTAACTATATTTAGAATTATTCTCTGATATTTCTTTTCTTAAGCATATAATGTTTTAACAGCTTGTATTTACTCCTTGTACTGATTCAATTTCAACCTTATATTACATTTGTCTCATCAAAATACTTACCAGTGACAAATTTCTTGTTTAATTTTACAGATGCATTCTTCTTCTCTAGGAACTCTCACTACTGAAAGTTCAAATGATTGCACTCCCTCTGCCTACTCTTCTGAGAACAATTTAATTCATATACATCTCTGTAATGCTTTTTGTTGTTGATGTTTTAGCAGCTAATTAAAATGAAATGCTAATTAAAAAAATATTCTGAACACCTAACTGTAGCACTTGAAACTAATTGTATAAATTAATCAAATACAGGTTGATCCTACTAATCTGAGAAGCCTTCCAGTAAATCCAAATTCTAACAGATGGTTCATTCTGAAGCTTTTATAAATAACAGTTAACTGTATTTTATTGTATAATAAACAACTTGACTTCAGTTTACCTAAACATACCATTGTATTCATGCTGACTGCAATAGCATTCATAACAGATAAAACAGCCTATGTGAAGCAGCTCAAATGGTGAAGACTTTTCAGTTCAGTTTAAAAAATGAAACTTATCAAACGCCACTGAAATCTGGTGGAATATCAGATTTGAATCTGGTATCGAGCTTTGTTATGGAATCAGCTCCTCTAGAGTTGGAATGTTCTGTAAAAGACAGTTGTGAGACTTACCAGCACAACCACTTTTCTGCACTTTTGTCAAGGCACTGAAGTAGAAGTGCATTGTACTATGTACATTTTTATTTAAGGTTGTCATATAAGAAAAATCCAATCTGATTTAACAGATTTTTGTATCTTTTAAATAAAAACTTCAAAGGCTTACCACTATTCCTAGTTTAGAATACAGATTAATAATTTTAATATGCAATTGGCCACTACTACGTGTTAATTTGTGGTTTTCCAGCCGTTTCACTTCTTTTCCACTACCTGAGATGGAAAGAGAATAATTTCACTGGAAGGCATCTTGGGCAAGTGTACTTTGTAACCTCACAGGGAACTAAGATTGCAGCAATGTTTTAGATTCATGTGAAATGTAATTTGATAAAGTAGGCACATGCAGGATAGGTAGGTCCTGAGCAGCATCTTAAGAATCTCAAGGTACATGTTTAAGGATTTGTCCAGAAAAATGTGAATTTTCAAGTTCTGTGCACAAAGGACCTGTCATAAACCAGTGGCTTATCAGAAAGAGTCCTCCTTGACATCAGTACAAGGCACTAAAAGTTCAGAAGGATCCACTAAATCCTTGATTCTGAATTAAAAACCTCATGCATTTTACTTTCTTTTTATTCTCAAGATAACATTTCTGGCTAGTTTAAGCTGCACTTGGCTGAAGTCACAGACACATTGTTTCTGTAATGTTTAGCTAATGTGCTGGTTTAACATCCAGAGTAATTTAATGCTGCTGACTGTAAACTGGGAAGAGGAAGAGATAATTTCCCTCTGTGCCAGATTATTACTCTATATCTACAATCTACACATCTACAATAAGTAAGTATGTGCTTAGGCTTAGTAAAATTGAACTTATTCCTTTATGCCATGGATATAGTGTTCAACTGAATGGTCACAGAACTATTCTGTAAAGCATCCTTCTGTAGGGCATACATGGCAGTACTGTGCAGGATATCAAGAGTGCTCAATTCTGCATATTTGGTTGTGTACAACTCAGTGGCATTTTTTAGTATGTTATATACCTAATCTAGATGTTCCTCCACCTCTTATTATTTATGACCAGCTACAGTGTTTCTCTGCATGGTTTAATTATCTGATGTCTATGCAGTGATAATCAGTTTTTCCACAGAAGTATCTACTTTAATTTGATGGAATATCCAAGAAAATATATTTTCTTAGGAAACCTTTTCATTTTCTAGACTATCCACTCTCAGAGGAACTGCTTATCTGGATCATCCATCAGGGTATATTTGTCTTCAGATGATATTAAAATTCTTACAAGAACAGAAATTAACCATTGAATCTTTTATATCACTGGGAACTCTTGTTTCATTTTGTACTTACACTTTCAAGGCTTCTGCTGCTATCTTGCATTCATACTTTTGGGAAATCTTGCTAAAATCCGCAGTTTTTCTTCACATGACTTTAAGCTTTATTTTCCTGGTTATGTGGCTACTGGTTTATTAGCACGTTCTAGCCCTGCATACCTCCTTGCTTTAAGTCCTTTCACTCCACAAAGCAACAATGAACTTAGAGATATAAATAAATCATAAAAGATAGATGTTTGCTCACAGTATGTACTAGTTTTGCCAGTATTGCTAGTACATTATCAGCTTTAATTTGCATCAGGCACTCTAACTGTTATTGTACTTTCTACAAATCCATTATTCAACAGAGGGACAGTACATCCTTCCCAGTGTTTGGGGAAGTGTCTGAATCTTCTGTGGCTTGTTCCAGCTTTTAACAAGCTTAACTTTATTCACTTGGCAGAGGCTGTTTAACTTCTGCTATATGAGAAAGATCTTGATGGACTCAGTTGGATTGGCAGCTGAAT